TCATTTCTTTTATTTTTTATTTAGTAACATACTTATCTCTCTTAATCGTATAATCATAAAAAAGATAAAACACACGATTAAAAGCTTAAACTGTATATTACCTATTCATGTAATCAAACACGTCAATCACAAACATAAAATGAACTAATATTAGAAACACACAACTCAGAGTGTAAATAAAAACTATTTTTTTATGATTAAGTTACTAACATTACCTGTATTAACATCACCATTGTGGGATACATTGATATAAAGAGAAAGTAAATAATTAAGATAACAATAATGGTATAAATAGCAATAGCAATATTAATGATAGCAATAACAATATTAGTAATAATAATAATAACAATAATAATGATGATAACAATGATAATAATAATAATAATAATAATAATGATAATAATAATAATAATAATAACAATAATAATAATAACAATAATAATAATAATAATAATAATAATAATAAAAATAATAATAATAATAATAATAACAATAATAATAATAATAATAATAATAATAATAATAATGATAATAACAAAAAAAAAATAATGATAATAATAATAACAATAATAAAAGTACTAATCATGATTACGATAAGGATGATGATAATAATAATAATAATAACAATAATAATAATAATAAAAATAATAATAATAACATCAATAATAACAATAGTAATAATAACAAATATGATACTTGTACTTTCACGATTCTACAAAGACAATCATTTGCAAAGTCATTAAACTACAGACGCCATTAAGTCTATAGATGAAAAAATATAGAATTTTGTACAGATATGGAATTATTACATCTCGGAAGATGTAAACTATGAGAAAAAGAGCAAGTTTACGAAAGAGAAGACATAGGAAAAGAAGACAAAAAAAAAGAGACAGAAAGAGCTAGTCGGGATGGGACAGAGAGAGGACGTTAACGTAAGTAGAAACCAAATACGGAGGAACCTTTTAACAGCGAGGAACCACACGGGATGAAAATATGACAGGCAGGAACCAAACACGGGGAATCTATCGCTGTAGAGGGACCAGACAGAAGGAACCAAACACGAGGAACTTATCACAGAGGAATTAAACACAAAGGAACCAAACACGAAGGAACCTATCATGGAGAGGAACCAAACAGAGAGGAACCTACCACACAGAGGCACCAAACAGAGAGGAACCTATCACAGAGATGAACCAAACACGGAGGAACCCTAACACATAGGACCCAAATAGGGAGAAATCTAACGGAAGAGATGCACCAGGAGTGAGGCGCAGAGGAGGACAAGAGAGGAGGTCGAGCACCAGGCGCCGCAGGTCATGCCCTCATGCCGGATCTCGAACTTGACCTGGTCGGGGTATTCGCATCTCTCGTCTGGAAAGATTTATTTAGATCAGTATCATCATCATATGATCATTATCATCATCCTCATCATCATCATCATCATCGTCATTATTATTATTATTTTTATCATCATCATTTGTATCATTATTTTTATCATTATTATTATAATAATTATTATCATTATTGTTGTTATTATTATTATTATTATTATTATTATTATTATTATTATCATTATTATTGCAGATATTACTATCACTCTGATCATTACTGTTGTTAGTATTATTATCATCATTATCATTATTATCAGCATAATTATTATTACTGTTGTTTTTATCATTATCATTATTACTATCATTACCGAAATTATTTTTATTATCATTAGAGAGAGGGAGAGGGAGAGGGAGAGGGAGAGGGAGAGGGAGAGAGAGAGAGAGAGAGAGAGAGAGAGAGAGAGAGAGAGAGAGAGAGAGAGAGAGAGAGAGAGAGAGAAAGATGATGAGAAAAAGACATTCAAAAACATAAAAAAAAAACATAAACACACACACATACAAAAAAAAAAAAAACATGAACAATAACAAATACAAACCTGTACAACGCGACCCAAGCGACGGTTTCCCCGTGATGGACATGAAGATTGGTTTGCAGTCCTCCAAGTATCTGCCGCAGAGATCATAGAACTCGATATCTCCGTTGTCCTCGATGCAGGTGTAGTCCAAGGCATTGTTAGCCACAGCCATGCTCTCCCTACTGGTGCATACTTTCACATCCGAGCTCGATATCTGAGGGAGGGGGAGAGGGGGGCGGTGCATGAGCTGAGGATGTGGGTATTTGCTGGTTGGTATAGATAGGATGTGGGAAAGTGGGAAAGTGCTCATTCACAATCACACACAGACACACATGCACACGCACAGACACACAGACACACACACACACACACACACACAAACAAACAGACACACACACACAAACCAACAATCACAATCATACCACCGTTACCACTAACACTAACAAATCACTCACCATAAGCTTGACGTAACCCGAAAACCGGAAGTTGTGTGGGGCAATGTGCACGTAAGTCGTATAATTAGGAGACACGAAACCGGTATACAAGTGGTTTTGTTCCCGGTAGTTGGTGAAATTGGCGTTGTTACTGTCACAGGCCGGATACACGAACACAGAAGGAACTGGGGAAGGGGAAAGGAACGCGTGTTACTTGTCTATCTGAGTATCTCCCTATCTATCTGTTTTTTATTCTGTCCATCTGTGTATCAGTTTATCAGTCTATTTATATATCCATCTGTCTAGCTATTAATCTATATCTATCTATATATATGTCTATCTATCCATCTATCTATCTGGCTGACTGTCTAACTGACTGATTCATTTACTGACTGTTGCCTGCCTCTCTGACTGACTGATTCATTGACTGACTGTTGCTTGCCTCTCTGACTGACAGACTGACTGCCTGCTTGCCTGCCTACCTACCTGTCTGCCTGTCTATCTATCTTTTTTTCTATCCATCTGTGTATCAGTTTATCAGTCTATCTATACATCCATCTATCTATCAGTCTACGTCTATATCTATCTTTGTCTATATCTATCTATGTTTATATCTATCTATGTCTATATCTATGTCTATATCTATCTATCTATGTCTATATATATCTATGTTTATATCTATCTATCTATGTTTATATCTATCTATCTATGTCTATCTATCTATATGTCTACCTAACTGCCTGCCAGCCTGTCTACCTGTCTGCCTGTCTACTTGTCTATCTATTTATCAACCAATCTCTCTAAACCCTCGCATATACATGTATCACAACGTTATAATAAGACCAACATCAACCACCTAAGAATTTCCACCGTCCCCCTGTGACTTCGAACGGACCACACTAATGCCTCTTACTTTCAAGAACGCGCTTGAGGACGTCTCTGGCAAAGTCCTCCTGCTCGAGGACGTTGTTGGTGAAGAAGTCCTTGGAGATGTCAAGCAGGATGTCATTGTAAGAACCTTTGCTCTTCCCAACCATCAGGAAGTAGACGTCTGTTGAGAAAGGAGGAGGGAAATTATTGTTATTATTATTGGTTATTGTGATTGTTAGTATTTTTTTTCTTCATTTTGCTTTATCATTATTATTATCGTGATGTTATTATGGTTTTGGTAATTATTACAAGTATCGATATCACTGTTGTTACTTAGTATTATTACTCTCATTAGTACTATTATCATCAGCATCATTACTATTGCTATGATCATAATTATCACCATCATTCTTAGTAGTAGTAGTAGTATTACCAAAGTTACTATTAATATCACATTTACTATTATCATCATAAAAGACTAATAACATTAAGTACGTCTCATGCGCTAAACTACCCATTTACTTATTGACAAAATCCCAATATCCTCTTTCGTGCTACTGATAAGTAAACCAACCCCGATAATCCAACCCACCTGGATAAGTGAACCAACCCCGATAATCCAACCCACCTGGATAAGTGAACCAACCCCGATAATCCAACTCACCTGGATAATTCAACCGGAAGTTCTTCATCTTCATATAGAAGTCATTGATGTCACCTGATGGGGATGAGGGTACGTTCCACAACACAATCTGAGGATAAACGATAAATAGATATTAACGATAATAATAGCGATAGTGATAATGATACTACAACTACTAATAGTAATTATAGCAATGATGATGATAATGATAATAGGATATATAATACTGCTACTACTAATGATAATAATGATAATAACAACAGCAATATTAATAATAACGACAATAATAATAATGGTAATAGCAATAATAAAAATCCTTTCCTGGGAAGTCATTTGGGAGACAAGGTTGGATGAAAGATAGATAGACGGATAGATAAAGAGAGAGAGAGAAGGAGTGACAGAGAGCGAGAAAGTGAGAGAGAGAGAGAGAGAGAGAGAGAGAGAGAGAGAGAGAGAGAGAGAGAGAGAGAGAGAGAGAGAGAGAGAGAAAGAGAAAGAAAGAGAAAGAAAGAGAGCGCCAGACAGACAGACACAGAGACAATTACAGAAAGACACAGAGGCAAAGAAAGTAAAAAAAAAAAAGGAAGAAATAAAAACTAACTTACCAGAATAAATACAATAACAAAAACAATAACAATAAGAACATCCCAGATAAAACCAAAGCGGAAATTTAAAACACCATACCTGAGTGTGAGCTTCTGCATTATTACCATCACTCCTGAGGTCTTTGTAGAATCCTGAGTAATATGCTTCCAGTTTCTCCAACACGAGTGGCATGTCTGACCCGGAGCCGTAACTCTCTGCAAACCAACGGGAAAATAGCATTAAACCAGTTTTTTTTCTCTTTAAATAGCAGCAAACCAACGGGGAAATAACATTAAACCAGTTTTTTTTCTTTAAATAGCAGCAAACCAACGAGGAAATAGCATTAAACCAGTTTTTTTTTCTTTAAATAGCAGCAAACCAACGGGGAAATGCATTAAACCAGTTTTTTCTTCTTTAAATAGCAGCAAACCAACGGGGAAATGCATTAAACCAGTTTTTTTCTTTAAATAGCAGCAAACCAACGGGGAAATGCATTAAACCAGTTTTTTCTTCTTTAAATAGCAGCAAACCAACGGGGAAATGCATTAAACCAGTTTTTTTC